CTCTTCTTTTGTTTTCTACTTGATTTAAGAGACTAATGTATTAAAAACAATTATTAGTCTATGTTTTTGGACACAATGTATAAAGATGTAATTTAGTGACATCAACACCAGAGTAGGGTCAGAGCTATGAAAGAGCAGAGTTTTTATATGTTCTTGAAGTCAAGCTGGTACAAATTCTCATAACACATATAATTTTAGTATGTTAGGTCATCCAGGTGATCAAAATATATTTCTCATATATATTTGGTCTTCCTCTATGGTTTTTTGCTAGAGCTCCTAAAACTCTTGGAATTTCCTGAGTGATAAAAAGTTACGGGCACAAAAAATGATGTGACTTTTAATGTGGGGACTCTTAGCAGGTCCCCAGAGAGCTTCAGAAGAGGGCTGGTCATCAGAAAGACCACGCCTGAATTAGAAGCTGGAGCTTTCAGCCTCACCCCTCAGGGAGAGGGAAGAGAGGGCCTGGAGGTTGAGTATCGCCAGTGACCAAGGCTGTCATCAACGTGCCTATATGATGGAATATCCACAGAAACCTAAACAATGGGCTTTAGAGAGCTTCCTGGTCAGCGAACAAATCAAGGTGCTGGGAGGGTGGCATACTCCGAGAGGACATGGAAGCTCCTCATCCTTCCTCCCATATCTTGCCCCACACACCTCTTTCATTTGGCTGTTCCCGAACTGCATGTATCCTTTATAATAAACTGGTTAACAGTAAGTAAAAGGCTTTCCTGAGTTTTGTGAGTCATTTTAGCAAATTATCAAACCTCAGGAGGAGAGTTCTGGGAAACCTCGACTTTGTAGCCAAGTTGGACAGAAGTGGATAGATAACCTGGGAATCTGACACTTGCAACGGTGTCTTAAGCGAGGGTAGTCTTGTGCTTAAGTCTGAGCCCTTATATCTGTAGAGTCTGATGCTAACTCTGATGGTTAAGGTCCAAACTGAACTGGAGGACACCCAGATGGTGTCTGCAGAGAACTGGAGAATTGGCTGGTGTCGGGCCAATTCACACCTCCCATGTACCAAGCTCTGCGCTTCATATACTAAATCTCCAATCCCCACGTTGCGTGAACCTCAGCATGCCAGACTTGGGAGACTTGTTCTTTCTGCCACATCGCACTGTTTCATTGCTTCTCCTTGTCTTTATAAATATCCTAATGCTGCTTGATATATTTATTTTATTTTATACAATTCAATTCTAAGTTGTTCTTGCTTATCTTTTTCTTAAACCTAACAAAAGCTCGTTTGAAAATATTATAAATAAAAATATTTTTGAAAAATGAAAATACACATGAAGTAGGAGATGATTTTAATATAGGAAATGGACTTGGCCAGTCTAGATTTCATTACTGCTGACATTTCTGTTAAAGGGAATCCAACATAATGCGTTCTGGTGCCACAGACTCTAATGCTACCATTCAGGATAGCAACAGTCACAATTCTGTTACCTGCCGGAGTTGGAAGATTCCTCCTGTTCGCACGTCCCTTGCAGAAATTACTTCTACAGGGCAGTATTCGCCATTCTCATTCTGTTCCAAGATCTGAACCCAGAATTCCATTTTCCTGGTGACTTCACTCCATCTAGGAAATAGCAGAAGTTCTTGGAAAATCATACATTTCTATTTTAATATAGGCAGCTTACAATCCTACATATGAGAATTAACAATAATAATAACCTCCAAACAGAATATTTCAATAGAATGATCTGTAGTTCAATGAGCAATATACAAGTACATATTAGCAAATATAACTACTCGGTAAAACTTTCTAAATACGAAAAAAAGGAAAAAGGAAAATCTGGTTCTCATCTACAGATGAAAAGTACAAGTATATGCTTTTAGTCATTTCCTTTTAACTCTTCTTTTTAAAATCCTGGTCAACAAATAAGTCTGCTTCCTCCCATCGCTGATTATGCTTAAAAAAAACTTTCAGTTAAAGACAAAATAAGTAAATCTAAATTCTAGCATATATCTTGATCCTTTCTCTCTACAGCTGAGTAATCAGAAGTAATTCATAATGATAAGCCCTACCTATTCTCCAAAATTTTATTTCACTCAATTTATAATAAAAGTCATGTTACATATTATATATTGTAGTTAAGTATATAGCCGTATGTATTTAATCTGCTTCCAACGCTCTTCAAAGCTCACTCTTCGGAAGTTTAACTGTGCTGTTAATGCCCTGGAAACGCCCCCATCTAGTCCTGATAATGCTCAGAAAATGACGACTTTCATAAATGATAGTATTAACCTCAAAACGATTTTTAAAATTATAAATGGAATCAGAGATATCTAAAATTCACCTGTCCCGAAGACTACGTGTTTTTGCTTGTATGATCCCCAAATCCCAAAGGGCTGGATTTTTCCGAGGATCGGTCACCTTATGGCCATATATTTCAATTGCTAATGCCCCTTCTGAAAGGTGCTCAATAAAATCTTCAGTGATGTTAACAGTAAACTCCTGAAAGAAAATAATTACAGAAGGAACACGTTCTGGTAACCTTATGCTTACTTATATCAAACATCATATAATTACTTCACCATGGAGAAGAGAAATAGAAAGGAATGTTTTATAGAACAGAACTGTCATACTACACCCATAATGAATGCTCAGAGGGTCTAAGATTCTTGACTTTAAAAATAACTGACCGTTTAAAAATGTTTCACCTTAAAAATCTATTATAAAGATCAGTATTGTATTCTATTTTGTTAGCAATATTTTGGGAGTTATTTTTTTAAAGTATAAATAATTGTATTAAGAATTAAAACAATGACCCACAACATTTTGATATAAAAGTTATTACACAGCAGTATAGTGGAAAAAGTTTTTCCCAGTTTTCAGGAAGCTATCTCCAATAACAGAGAAAGGAAATAAATAATGACTGTCAGTGCAAAAAAATCACCTAATCTCTAAAAATCTTCCCAACCTGTCCAAGATAGATGTAAGATAGCATTTTGCAATAATTAGGATTAAGCTCTAAAACTGTTTATTTTAAAAAGTGATAGAATCTCCACACTTTCTCCCTCGGTCTTTAAAACACTAAAGGCATTTCTGTTTTAAACAGATTAGAGAGAAATCTCCCTCTTGAAAAAAAAAATGCGATGAATCGACTGTGCCACAGCAGAAAAAAAAATCTACAATCTGACAGTCCCGGCTCTGCCAGTTACCAGCCATGGGCAAACTGTCCTCTCTGAACTCGCTTCTTCTCTGAAAAACAGCAATACAACTGTGGTAAAGATCAAATGAAAGAATAACATAAAGTGCTTAGCAGAGCATTAGGTGCTCAATAAAGTCAGTTCTTGTCTCTTTTCTACCTTCACTTTTTCTAACATTAGTTTCTTAACCTTTTTTAGATGACAATTTTTCCAGTAATCTAAATGCAAAACGTGGATTCCTTTTGGAGAAGAGCACACGTATATTCATACACGTGTATGTGTATTCACACGGAAGTTAACTCTTGATTGAGGAGGAATTAAATGCAAAACTTTAGATTTTTTTTCCCCAGCTTTACTGAGATATAATTGACATGACACTGTGTAAGTTAAAGGCGTACAGTGTGTTGGTAATACTTTTTACATTTTTACTACAGCCCCACTCTAAGAAACTCTGATCTAAGACATATATTGGTACCAAACTAGTCAACAAAATAAGGTTCATTTTCTAGTTTTGTTTTTACCTGAGTAATTAAATGTTGACCAAGTCTGAAAAACAAACTTACCTTGCAATGATCAAAGACAACCATGCACTGAGGCTCCTTGCTGACAGGAGAGGATGAGGTATCTACTTCGGGTGCAACAGTTACTGGCTCCTGTTGATCCCAGAAGTTGTATTTGCAGAATACAAAGTGGGACAGATGCTGTGGCAACCCAGTGGCTTGGAGTATTTTAACCTGAAGGAAAAGAAAGGTTCTGTTTGTTTTCAACTCAGAAAGTACTAAGAAATACTGAGTCGGAGATATGGACTATAGTCCTAACTGTTGTTGGTTTACGCAGACCAAATCCCATTCACCCTGGGTCATACTTCTGCCTCTGTGAACTGGTGATAACCACTGATATATTTAGTAACAGGTTGACACAGGGTAACGACAACCTTGACTATAAAGGTGGATATTTTAAAGCATTTACAGGCTGATGATGAATACTTAAATTCTAGTTTCTTATATCATCATCGTCATATTATGATAACTACTCAGAAAAAGAAAGTCCTCAAACATCAACACCATTCAACAAAATGGCTACTATGAATACGTCATAAGAACACAGGATCATTAAGAATGATGGATGAAGAACAAATTCAGTGTATGTGCCAATAAGCAATAAATATTCAGGGAAGGGCAAAAAACATTTTTTTGATACTTTAAAGTATAAAAGGGAACATGGTTCTCAAGTAGAATGTTACATGCTACTAGAGCATTTTTTGGAAAACTTTATCATGGAATCATCAGGAATGCATACTTTAAAGACCTAGAGAGGAAGAAGAGGAGATTAAAGATGGTGAATGTTGACCGTTCTTGGCACCAACATTTACTAATGCCTTCTCCATGCACATTCAGGGAGGAGAGGAGAATCGAGGGAAATGCGCCCCGGACTGCACGAGTGTGGAGCTTTATGACAACAATGTGCAATCGGAAATGTGTATCTAATCAGACCCAAATGACCCCAGAAGAAATGCCCATTTTAGATTTTAAAGCAGCCAAATATTCTATTTCTTTTGGCAGGAAGCATCAGATTGATTGTTAAGCTGGAGTTTTTATGGTAAGTTATAATATTCTAAAACTCCTCCAATCATGAAAAAAACTAAATCCTAAAATTAGTTAAGCTAAACTAAATTCTGGTTTTATAATTGATTAGGCCGACTTACACATGACTGAGCATTGATTGTTTACTTATTCTTCACCTGGTCACTTCTTGTGTGTTATATGATGCACTCCACCTCCAATAAATAAATTTAACAAAAATAGATTTGACTATGTGGCAGAGGATAATGTAGTTCTGAAACTACAAATATAAAAAATAGTCTTAACACTTCATAAAGCAGGTGACTTTATTTTCCTTTATACCAGGTTGATAATAAGTAAGCAACGAATGGGAACTCCTATTATTATTCATTTTTTCCTATGATGGCAACAAAAGTTTGAAACGTCTAGAAAGCAATTCCCTGACAGGCTATAAAATATAAAAGATGGCTTGACTAACATTTTATTCACTCAAACCAAATACTGTGATCAGTATTCAGCAGTTAATTTTTCGTTAAATTTTAAAAACCATCACTTTTCATTAAGTGTTAAAAATGCTTAATATATTCTTTAAGGTGAGGCAATGTGGTATTTGGGAAGATGACAAGATTTTGGAATATAAATATCTAAATAAAAGATCTTTTATTAGCTTCTTATTAGCTTCTGTTTTTGAGCAAATTCTTGAAATCTTAGTTTTCTTAAGCTTAGTTTTTCTCCTATGTGAAACAGGATACCTAATGATACTGGTGTGAGGGCTGACCATTCTGATGAAATGAAATGAAGGAAAATACTATCAGGCTTTGAGTGGATAGATATTTAATATATGTGTCTTTGTGATTAAATTCCATCTTAAAGCTAGTATTTCTTCTTAGAAATCAATCTCAACTTTAAGATTGAAATAAATAAGAAAACAAGATTTCATATGCTGAACTCTCCCCAATAGGCAACTTCGCAAGAATATGACTTTCCAGGAATGAAGAATATCAGGAATGAGGAATATCTATCTATAAAGAACATAGGTTCGAGTTTTTCTGCTGTTATTTGCAGGCAGAAACCAAAAATCACCACAAGGTGTCAGAATATCACAGACTTCAACTAGCCACTGCTCGAGATACTCGAGATAGATACTTCTGAAACTAGGAATGTCAGATGACATTCATGTTGTTGGAAATTCTAAAATATATTAAATTGTATTTAATGTAATTGAAAATATCAATGTTAATATGTGCATACTTTTTTTCATCACAGAAAAAGAACTTCAGACTTCTTTTATGGGCTGGTGATACTCATCACCCACAATATCTTAAGTGTCCCAAGACTGGTTTCGTTTTTTTCTACCAATATTTTGTTAACTGTCATATAGTTTATTTGTCTTCCTCCTTTTACACAAAAAGCTATTTCACGCTCGAAATATCATCTCTAAAAACTTTCCACTGAAAGGAATCAAGTTCCATGGAGTAATGGCTGATTCCAGGTTGCACAGGAAATACAGGATGAGAGCAAAATATCTGTCATATCAGAAAGCAAAAAACACTAGCACAGTCCATGAGGGTTAGGGATGTGTCAAAAGGACTTCAGGGCCAACTGAAGAGGTTCCCACAGGCCAAAAGTGGGATCGTTTGAGCTTCAATACAGGCAATAAATACAACGGATCAAAACACATCAAATATGTTTAAATCTAATAGTTCATAATGATATTAAAACTAAAGCCAAAAAATCTCATTGGTCACTTTTAGATATTAGTGGTAAAACCAATTCCTTATTTTGAAAATTAGTAAATAAGGGGAGAAAATGGAGCATTTTCTGACTTTTCTATACAAACTGTATCTCTTAATAGCAAAATAGTTAATAGGAAGATTCTCTCTATAGAAGGATTCCAACTAATAAATGAAGGAATGATAGAATTACAGTATCATTCTTTTCTAACATCTACTGAAATATCTTGGTAATAATCACCAATGATTTCCAACATCCCCAAAAGAGAACCAGACACAATGTGCCTTCTAACGGAAGAACCACCTTTAAGGTACCCTCACTATTCCCCGTCCCCCATACATCACCTTCATATCTAACTACCAATTTATCCCAACTACATCCTAACCTGTTAAATCAGACCAATCAGCAAAACCCAGACTATAAGAAAACACAAGGCAACAACCCAGTTTCTACAATAAGTAAATTGTATGGTAAGAGAGAGAGAGAGAGAGACACACACAGACAGACAGTGAGAGAGACAGACGGTGAGAACATGCACAAATGCCAAGGCCTAAAGATTAAAATAGACTTAAGAGACACAACAACTAAAACAATCAAAGAAATTGACTGCATGTTTCATATTAAGCATTAACTTTTTATTATATTATGATTATATTGGCTTTTTTATGTATACTTTTGGAAATACTAAACTACTTATAAATGAAATATGATGTCTGTGTTACTTCAAAATAATCTGAGGGAAGGGGATAGCACAGAAGCAGCTTAGGTGTATGAATGAAACAAGACTGACCATGAGTTCATAACTGCTAAGGGAAGGTAAATGGGGATCGATAACACTTTTACCACTACTTTTATATATGTTTATTATCTTCCATTTTAAAAATCTTAAGATATTTTAACTTCATTTTTTAAAAAAGGTTTGTTACCCAGGATATACTTCTTCTTTTCAGTGACAAAGACAAATCTCCCAAGTGAGACAGTATCCTTAGATGTGACTTTACTCATGGTAAACTTTCACACAGTTGCATTTATTAGTCCATCGTTAAAATGGTACATTATGGAGTCATCAAGCCTATGTCTCCATCTTTGCTAATCCTATAACCTCAAAGGAAATGTTCTGAAATCAAGTACAATACAATAAAGATTAACCTTTTAGTGAATTAAGAATCACTAAAGTGAAGTAACTGACTTTAAACATCTGGGGCCTGCTTAATATATAGAACGTAGCCCAACATTTAACAGCTTTAGCTTCTTCCCCATACCTTGCAACTAATGCCTAACTTACTCCTTTCAATATCAACTTCAATTCTAGAATTATTTGCTGAGATACAGGACTGGACCTAGGATGGATTATGAAATAGAGTTTAGGCTTCCTTCACTTCAGCTTTTAATGGCGTCCTCACTCCCATACTATTCCTATGCCTCTCGCTGATTTCTCGTCCTTAAAATCTTTTTAACTGATTCTCGGTGATCCTCAACCAATGGCGCAGGGGCCCACTAGAGTGTTTGAAAATGTATGAGGGGATTTTTTTCATTGTCATGAGTAACAAGGGTGGCACTACCTGACTGAGCAGGAGTCCAAGAAGGTAATGACCTACCTAAAATCTACCTAGCAACCACCCATGAAAATACCACAGCACCCTACGGGGCAAGAGTTTTATGCAACCACGCCCTCCTTCAAGTTCACTCTGAGTCTCATTTTTCTAGAAACTTTCCTCAGATCTTACTATCTGAATAATTAATTATCTTGCCTCTGTGTCCCTTAATTCATTTGTCTACCTCTCTCAGAACACTCTGGTCACATAATAATGGAGTCTTCTGTTCCCTTGTGTGTCCCCCTGACATATACACACCAGGCTGCTCCTTAAGAAGTTCAGATAAACACAAATCCATATAATTTTGGAACAGAACGGACCAGAGCAAAGAGCTATCTTATCCAAGGCTTCACAGTGGAAGGTAGTGGAAGTACCTGGCTAACCATTATGTCAAGATACATGATGAAATACTAAATACTGAAGATTTACTTAGAGATAGCTTTTTTTCAAATTTTGAAAAAGAACACAATATTTATCATCTAAATACTCATAATTCTCAAAATCAGCCACACTTTACTTCTAAATGAAACTGGGACTCACCATGCACGTCAGTTTGTTTTCATGGGATTCCTTATCAAAGGAGATGTCGGCGGCATCATCCCCTCCGGCCAGCCTTTCCACGATGTCACCACTGATTCGCATCACCTCTACATGCAGCCGACCTGCCACCTATACCAATGAGGGGCAAAAAAAATACTTTTTCCAAATTTTGTTCTTTCTTCTGTTTTAGAATCAAGTAGCTAGGTTAATAGTATATGAGAATTTAGAAGCCTAGGTTCTAAAACTTACTTTCCCACAAAGTACTTGGTATAATTACCATAAAGCAGTATGAAAACACAGGTATTACTAATAAACACAAATATCGCTTGTCATCATTGATGAAACTCAACAATATACTATGAACACCCTACTGTTTCTTGAACCATTCTCTGCAGGATACAAGGCATGAAGAGAAAACTAACCTCTCCTTTCTGGTTGACGATTGGAACAGCATATTGTAACTTCACATCGTAGAAGAGGGACTCAAGGAAGACATTAGCCACCCCAATGAGGCTATGATTTTCCTGTTCATCATAGAATGGATCAGCACGCTTGAAGTAAGAACGTATTACCTTTAAAGAGATTCAGAATACCGCTTAAACTTCAGAAAATCACTTAAAATAAATGTATTAAATGTATTTTAGATGATAACCTACAACCTATCGATTTAAAAAAGTCATTAAACTTAGCTGAAGTACAGCACTGTATTTCTTTCTCTTCCTTTCTCTCTCTCTCTCTCTCCCTCCCTCCCTATATTTCTCTCTCTCTCCTTCTTCCTCATTTCTATTTAGAATGGTGGTCAGCATCCTTCATCCATGAGAGAGCAATTCCAATAATATGTCCTTACTTTTACTATATCTTCTCCTTTATGTGAAAACCTTGCCATGAAAACAAAGAAAACATATATTGACTAGAAAAAGAAGTAGAGTGTACAAAAGTGGTTTTCATTTTTCATTCATACCTATTCCACTTGTTCCTACCAAATCATTAGATGTGCTGCTAATGAGAGGTGACCCCTTATAGGAAAGTGATTTGCTTTTTGTATTTGTTGTTAATGTTATTTTGTTTCTATATTAAAATGGGGGGAACAGAGAAGAAAATGAAAAAATTTTAAGAAAAAATGTTAAATATAGTTCATTAAACTATAAGTAGTCATTTTTATTGAGGGTGATCTGAAAAAATAAACATTTTTATAAAGCAAAGGCTAGGAAAGTAAAAAACTCTATGCATAAACAATACTAGCAGTGTTGAAAATGCGTAAAAATATACATGATACATATTTTAAATGCGTACAAGTACACAGCTGACCTAAATGAGAAAACCTGCAACTTGAAGAGAGTACCAGTCAGATTTATGGCACCTACTTAATGATCAAAATGCCTTCAAAACATGTTCCTAATAGTATAAATATTAAGGTACCACTGATGTTCAATTCAAAAAAATAGATATTGTAGGTTTATTATTTGCAATGTTAAATGTGTTGAAAAATGAGAAGAGAGATAATAGGGCATGATTTCTATCCTAAATAAATTCACAGTCCAGTACAGGAGACAGAAATATATAACACAAATGAAAGAAAGAATGAAATATAAAAAATGTTACTAGAAATCCAAATAATACCAAATATGAAAAAGAAAAAAGAAGATAGCAGAAAACTAGGTTATTAAAATTCTGATTCGTTGAACAACTTAGAGGATTAAAATAAATATTCTAGAAACAGGATTACTACTTTAGAAAAATGAACACTTTTTCCCTGAAATAGGTTGGCTCATTCTTGCTTGATTCCTTCCATGAATACCAATTAAGTAATTTTTTCAAATAACTTACTGGGGTATCTTCTTCACACTCCTTCCACTCCTGATAAAGGTCTCTCATATCCAACAGCCTGTTGTCCAGTTTTTCCAAGGACCAAATCTGCTTTCCTTTTCCTTTTCTTCTCACTTGGATTGCAGGTTCACTAAGAAGAGAGCCTCTCTGCAATGATAATAAGGGTAACTATGTGAAACACAAAGACACCTATCATGGAAGTCGACCCAAAACATTCTATACCCACCAGTCAAAAGTCATCGACCAAAACTGAAACTGCTATCATTCTTTATTCTGTGAATTGCAGAGCTTTCCAGAAATCTTATAAGCTTGATGTAATGAATGCTTTCATAGCCAAGTGCAATCAAATTTTAAATATGGATTTAAAATTTCATTGAAGTTGTATATAAATTTAAATTTAAAACACAAAAGACAGATCACGTTTAATGGGAAATCAAAAATATTGTATTCCGGCCATCATGTGACCAGGGAATATGGGTGGGTCAAAAGAGAGCCACGAGTGTTAAATGGTAGGGGAAGGTTTGCTGGGATGGGTAGTTAAGAAACTATCTTTCATCTTCCAAAAGTTTGAATTTTTAAATTTTTTTGAATGGGTAGTATCTTAATGTGGTACCAAACACAAAATGTTTAAAAGAGTAAACTGAAAAGTATAAGAATCTTATGATCATATCAATAGATGCAGAAAAAGCCTTCGACAAGATCCAGCACCCATTTATGATCAAAATACTTAACAAAATTGGTATAGAAGGAAAGTACCTTAACATAATAAAGGCCATATATGACAAGCCCTCAGCCAACATTATACTTAATGGTGAAAAACTAAACCCCCTCCCTCTAAGATCAGGAACAAGGCAAGGCCGTCCACTATCGCCACTGTTATTCAATATAACATCGGAGGTCCTGGCGAGTGCCATC